AAAAAAAAAAAAAAAAAAAAAAAAAAAAAAAGGAAGGCGCAAACCATTTAATTTAAACAGACCTTACAGCCAGACAGAGTCATAAATAAAGGAAGAAATAATGCCCTGCTCAGCGTGGACTTATTGATGCCGAAAGAGGAGAAGACATCATGGAAGTTCACTTTGCAACATGAAACATCTTGAATCTGAAAAACAACAAATAAGAGGTTATTTGCACTAATCAAGTTATGAAGATGCCACAAGATTAGAATAAATGTGTATCGACCTTTACCGGCTTCTAGGAAGACACTGATGGCTCGAACAACTTCAATTTTCTTCCCAATCTGGATACATGTTCTCTCACCAGCAAACCAACTGCTGCTACAAGTAAATAAAGGCAGTCCTTCAAGTTGCTGAAGCGGGCCCTCACGTTGTTGAACAACAGGAAACAGAGATGTTTCCATGGATGATCTAACTTCACCGCCAGAACTCCCACAAAGCCGATGGCCGCTCCAAGTTCGATACCCGGTTTAAATGATTTCCAAAATTCAGCTCTATCTTCTTGATTGTCTTTGCCACCACTGTCTGTTGGTTTGCTCTTTGATTTTTCATCTCCCGGGCAAGTTGGTGTCAGAGGAAGTCCACAGAGTGAAGGATGATTACCAACAAATGCAGAAGCATTAAAGGACTGCATTTGGGTTGATAATGGGATTCTCCCTGAAAAGTTGTTGTATGATAGATTCAAAGTGCTGAGGAAATTTAATTGGGACATGCTCCCAGGAAGATGACCTGAAAGCTGGTTCTGTGACAGATCGAGTGATTCTAACTGTCTCATCTGCCCAATGTTTGAAGGAATCCATCCCGTCAACTGATTTCTTGATAAGTTCAATTGAACCAGTTCCAAGAGAACAGATATTTGGACTGGAATCCTTCCTGTTAATTTGTTGCTTGAAACATCAATAATCTTCAAAGTCTTGAGATTTCCATTCTCATAATCACGCTCCATTCCTTTCCACATTACAGATGCTTTGTCGGCATACCATCCTACGGTCCAGGAATTAGCACCAGTATATGAATCTTGAAAATATGATCAAGGGCTGAACTCTCCTGTTGAGCTAATGCAGTCAGATTCTGGATGCACGATGGTATGTTTCCAGATAGATTGTTGTTGGAGAGGTCTAGCACCGTAATATTTTTCAACCAGCATAGCTTCAAGGGGATGTCTCCACTGAAATTATTGGACCTCAGGAGAAGGAAAATTAGTGAACTTAGCCTTTCTCCAATCCAAGTTGGTATTTTTCCAAAGAAGCTATTATTATTTAAGTTCAAAAATTGCAAGGCACTGCAATTTCCTAGAGACAAAGGTATTTCTCCAGAGAAACTGTTGTTTTGCAAACTCAACGATTCAAGATGATACAATGATCCAATAGAGTTTGGAATTTTCCCAAATAAATGATTATGACACAAATTCAGAATCACTAATCTTGGCCATTGTGTCATGCAATCAGGAAACTCTCCTGATAGTTGATTGTGCGAAACATCAAGGAACTGAATTGTCCCACCAGTTATAGTACAGAGAGAAGAAATTGACCCAGAGAACCTATTTTCTGATAGGTTTATGGATGTGACATTAACAGGTAATACTGGCAATGGACCCTCCAACTTGTTTTTACTCAAATCTATCCCAGGGCGAAGAGAATAAGAAAATTTTGTTGACAAATCTGGCAAATTTCCATAGATATGGTTGGAAGAAAGATTCACATAAACTACCCTAGAAGATAGGTTCCAAAACCACTCTGGAATGCTATCTGAAATTCCACTTCCAGAGATATCAAGATAAGAAAA